AAGACCCACTTTTTCTCTCAGGCCTTTGAGTGAGACTTCGACTTTTTTTTGCTCTTACTGTTTTTTTTTTATCTTTGAGTTTGTCCTGTGTTGTGGTGATAATTGTGTTTTATAATCTGCTCAAATGACCTGTACAGCGCTTTGATTTTAGCTTTGGCTGACTGAAAGCGCTTTATAAATAAAGTTGAGTTGAGTTGAGTTGAGTTGATAAAATGTCCAATTTTTTATGGTTTATCATTAAAATGATCCAGAATTTTGGAGCCTAGAAGGAATAGGATCGCTTCAGCTGCTGCATTTTCATCTTAGTTTTCTCATTGTTTTATCCATTTCCTCTCAACTTATTTGAATTAATGTTAATTTCAAATGACTCTTATTTACCATTTTTACTGCACTTATTGTTTAAAAAATATGATTTAAATATGATTTAAAGTTCTAGCCAACAAGCATCCTCATTCACATTTTCCCCTATATTTTCACTTTATAATTTTACATTATTTATTTCCTGCATCAAAAAATATCAAAGATATTTTCAATTTAAACAAATGTTATAAAATAATACAATATAACCTACAATAACTTCAATAATATTATTGTTCCAGGTAATCAAATCAGTTCGGTTTATTCTGTCCAATCAGCTGTCTGTAATGTCTTTAAATGTCCAGCAGGGGTCAGTATTCTGTGAGACAGTTTTAATGAAGTATCAATGCAATGTGTCGAAACGCTTCAAGATTAACTGTCACTAACCCAAACGCAGAGGCGAGGAGGCAGAGGTCAGATCTTAAAGATTTAATGAAATTACTCTCAGGCAACTGAGACAAAAAAATCCAACATGAAACATACAAAAAAAAAACACCAGACATCAGGTAGGACATGCATGAGGAGCGAGGGGAGGACGAGGAAGCAGCCCTGAGGAACGGCTTATATGGCAGACTGAACAAAGACTGGACTAATGGGCTGATTGGGAGCAGGTGTGAACAGAGGAGTCTAGAAGGAACTACGGAAAATAAGTCCAACACCAGAGGGCAGCAGAGGGCAATCAAGAAAAACCTAAGAACTCAAATATATCCAGAAAACAACAAAATAGGAATTAAACCAATAAAACTAGAAAACAAAGGAAAACATGGATCACAGTGAAACTGAAAACTCAAATAAAACTTAACAGAACAAAGACTGTGACATTTTTTATTTTTTATTTTTTCCTAAACTGTCCTGTCTGGCGATGTGGCAATAAGGATAATTGTCTTGATGCCAAAAAGATTTTACTTTCACCAGTGGAGCAGTACGGCTATCGCTATAGTGATCCGCTTGATTTATGCATATAAATAGCTTTATTATAATTATGCAGGGAGTTTTACAGATTATATGGACACTGCAATGGAAGAACAACAGGAAAGAAAAACAGGAAAAAGGATAAAAGATGAAAGAAAGAGGAGATAAAAGGGAGATAATGATAAAACATCTTCAGTCTGCTTCATCACCTGCAAAGAGATGTAGAAAGAACAATCAGAGAGTTTAGCTTTTACTGAGCTCCATATAGTTAAAGATTGCATCATTTAAATGATAAAAATAAACAATCTTTTATTTCTTCTCTGCCCAAAGGCGGAAATCATCCAGGATTTTGAAAAGCTGCGCGAACAGGCAGAGAAAGGAGGACTTTTTCAAGCTCAGCCTTTATTCTTCTGCCTTCACCTGGGACACATCGTGCTGCTGGAGGCGCTCACCTGGTTCCTGCTCTGCTACTGGGGAACAGGCTGGATAATGACCATTCTGGCCTCAGTCTTCCTCGCAACTGCTCAGGTTTTTTTCACACTAAATGTTCTCCTTGTTATTGAACTTTCTGGAGGTCACATTGAACCTTCTGCGTTTCTCTTCTAGTCGCAGGCTGGATGGCTGCAGCATGACTTTGGACACCTTTCTGTCTTCAAGAAGTCCAAATGGAATCACCTGGTCCATAAGTTTGTCATTGGACATTTGAAGGTAACATGACAGAAATCTGTTGTGTGTCTCTGGTTCTGTTTCACCTTTCCTGTCTGTTGTTCCTTCAGGGAGCTTCGGCCAACTGGTGGAACCATCGACATTTCCAACATCACGCCAAGCCCAACATTTTCAGGAAGGATCCTGACATCAACATGATGGACATCTTTGTACTTGGGAACACTCAGCCAGTGGAGGCAAGCGGCTGGATGAAGGAATGCATTTCTAAATGCTTTTCAGCTCATTGACCTCCCTGCTTCTCTTTGTTACAGTACGGCATTAAAAAGATCAAACACTACCCCTACAACTACCAACACCAGTACTTCTTCCTCGGTAGTTTTGCTTTAAGACATTTAAAGATCATTTTAGAAAAAACAGAAAACTGCTCCAAAGCTAACTGCTATGTGTGTTTCAGTGGCGCCACCGCTGCTCATTCCGGTTTTCTACAACTACAACATAATGAAGACCATGATTACTCGACGTGATTGGGTGGTAAGAAGCCCGCCTCCCAGCCGCACCAATCAGTTTATATACTTTCTGAGCGGAAATTTAAATTTTTTCATTTTTGTTTTTCTGTGGAAGGATCTAGCCTGGGCTTCTACCTACTACATCCGTTACTTCTACTGCTATGTGCCGCTGTACGGCGTGTTTGGCTCATTGGCACTCATGACGTTTGTAAGGTAAACGCATTGTGAACTCTGACATGTCATAGTAGACTAGATGAAAAAAATGTTTGGACAGATGGTAAAAGTTTAACAGGTTTATTGGAGGTTAGCAAACACTGATGGAGATTAAACTCTGTGGGGAAATAATGCTGGAACTCAGCGGACTGGTGAACCAGAACCGGAAGGGGAGATCACAGTGATCAGTTCAGGGACAGTGGGAAAATAGACTGAGGCTTGAATATTGTTGGAGAGTCACTCACTTTTGGGGGGCTCTTGGTTTATCCTTGGATCCAGTTTGTGGGGGTTTAATCCAGAGAAGAGGTAACTCGTTGGAGAGCGGAGAGGCAGACATACGTTGGACCCAGAGGAGTAAAGGAGCGGACTCTCACTTGGTTTTCCACAAGTGGACTGGAACAGATCATGTGGAGGTTTTCCCCTTGCTCAGTGAGACTCAGTAAATCCTTCCAGGGGTAGAAGGTCCAGGCTTATCCAGTAACACAGGAAGTCTTCCTGCCAAAGAACAAAGACGAAAAAACAAGTTTAGACTCAGAGAGTCAAGGCTAAGGTTAGCCTCTGCTAATCAAACACATCGAGGTGGTGACAGCCTGCTGCTCAAGTACTCCTCTGGTAATGACCCAGCGAGCCGCAGGTGTGCAGGGAGGCCAAACGAGGACAGGGCACCACCTGGTGGTGGGGAGAGGAAACCACAAAAATAAACCCACACAAACTAGAATCCTAACAAGATCTATAAAATCAGACTAGAGTGACAGACTTTTCTGGGTATTTATAGAGATTAAACATTTTACTGGAAAACACAAAAAAATCCAACATTACAGAATATAATTTACAACATTTTGAGAAGAGAGGCAGATAAATGTGAAAAGAATTTAAAGAACCATTAAAAAAGATTTTTTTGGAATTGGAATTTGTTAGATGAGGAATATAAAAAAACAAAAAACAAAAGGCTTTTTTAAAAAAGGTAGAAAACTTTTTTTCCCGCTTTTTTTTGCTTTTCTTAGAAATGCATATTTTAAAATTGTGTGTGAGTATTATAAGCATCTGTTTAGCTTGATCTATACCCAATGAGTTCATCACATGATTAAATATCCTGTCTGTATTTTGCTGTGTAATACGCAGATCCAATAAAGACCTACGGCTACTAGAACAAACAAAAGCAAAAAACTTTACATATTCATTTTCATCATATACACTTCATTTATGTTGGAACTGTGCTTAGGGACAAAGACAAAAAGGGGAAAGGAGCAATAAAAAGACGGATACCTTCATTTCTGCTTTATATAATGATTTTAAAGAGATTAGGATGGGGGAGGGGATTCACCATTAGGCAATACTAGGCAGTTGCTTAGGGCCCCAAGTTCCTGGGGGCCCCATAAAACTCTGTTTC